GGGCCCGACGCTCTGCGTTCCCCATGGCCCACCGACGCGGACATCGAGCATATTCTTGCCGAGGACGTTGCGGGCGTTGCAGCGGCGCGCAGCGTTGCCTGGACATTGGCATTGGCGAGCCCTGACCTAGGGCAATCTAGCAGTCGCGACATCCACCCGTTTCTGATCGCGCGCCACTCTCCCGATTGGACGATCGAAGATGTAATGTTGGATGGTCCTCTGGGGGCTGATGGTGACGTCGCTGCCCAGGCTTGCCAGCACTTTGCGGGTTCAGTGGCTCCCTCTCTCCCGACTCTGGCGATGCTGACCGTCTCGCCCTGAGAGTCCCCCCTAGGGCGCTGTTCCGCTGTCGGTTGTCAGTTCCCTAATCGCGTCGCCTGGTCTTGGTGATCTGCCTGTTGACTTTGGCACTCATGGCGTTGCCCATGAGGCTCTCGAGCCTGCCGCCCGCCCACGGTGCATCGATGGCGGCGCGTCTTTCTTTCGATGGAGGAGCGCGCAACTGGATGATGGCGTGCCCCAGTGTTTGCGCGAGCTGCAAGCGGACCTCCCTGTTCGCAAGGTGATGGGCAAACCGCCCCTGATGGGCATGCCACGCCTAGGTGCTCTTCGTGCTTGGCGAGTTATCGAACACTTGGCAATGCTGGCTGCGCAGTGGTTCTTCATGACTGATCGCGGGTGCTGGCAGGGCATCGACGACTGGATCGACTAGTGCGCTCCCTGCGAGGCCGTTCTCCTGGACCCCTCATTCCTCGTCTACTCTCGCGCTCGCGCGCCAGACTTGCCCACCTCTCTTCCTGACTCACGTTGGCTCAGGGCCGCGGGCATTTGCGCGGCTGTTTGGCCCAGGGATTCGCACCTTCGCAGTATGCATTTTTCAACAATGGAAGCACTAGAAGGCGACGTCTGGGGTAGCGCTGCCGTCCGTCACGCGAGCGCCCCGGGAGCGCGCCGCTGCGTCATCGACGCGATGAGCATGCCTAATCCGCCAAGGAGGCCGCTGCCATCCACGCGACCTGTTGGGCGCGTGGGTACCCCTCTCGCTGCCGTCCCCGACCTCGCGGCCGAACATCTACCCCGTGCCCCACTTGGGCCTGGGCAGGCCGACAGTGAGTCAGATGGCAGAAGACTTATAGCGACCAACAACCTGATACTGAGACAGCAGGAGGCCCATGCCAGCAACGCTTATATACCCAGCAGCCGCACCCCAAATGCAAGAAGTTCTCTCAAGCCATTTTCAACGCTGCGGTTATCCAGTGGAAGAAGCGTGAGGTTTTTTCCTGTGCGCGACAATCTCGCTATGACGCTTGTTTTGTCAATGTCTGTTGCCCCCGATAATTCATGCGACGAGCGTGGGGCTCTTCAGCAGATTCTCCTCAGGTTCTCCGAACAATGGAGCCTGTGCTATCTTCATCGAGACGCTTGCTTCGATAAGACATCGCCGCGCGGGATGGTGCGTCAGCTTTACGAAGGCGAAGCTGAAACAACCTTGGGCTGGGGGCGTGGAGAGAACTCGAGAGATGTTTTCTCGAGGGGGCTGTTAGACATGGATCCGCAGGAGCCGGAGTGCAAGCGAACCATTTCTGCGCGCAGTGCGAGAACTCTGGGGGATGACGACCCCGCGTTTTCCTCGACCTCTGGCTTAGGAAGTACTTCGAGAAGATGGTTTCCGCTGCGGCGTCTTTGGGGGGGGGGGGGGGGGGCTGGAGATTCAGCCTCTGCGCCCGCGCGCCTCACGACGCCCAGCCCTTCCACCCAGCTGTGGCCCGTATTTCCTGATGCTGATCGCGGCGGTTCCACTGCCTTCCACGCCGCCCTCCTGGCCCGCGCCAACAATCTACCTGTCCAAGACCCCAGCCACGAGGAGCTGCGCATTGGGTCGCCTCTGGTACTGGTTCCGGTCATCTTCATCTAGACCTTGAAGGTAGAGAGGTACACTGTTTCTGGCGAGCCCGCCCGTTCATCAGGGCAACGATGATTTCGTCGGCGAGTGCGATACCGTGTTCGGCACGGCCCGCCGCCTCATCGACGACGTGAGCGACGGCCAGCTGCGCGCCGTCTCTGGCAACCACAGCAACTACGGCCTCCAAATGATCTCCAACACCCGGGACCTCGGCACCGCGAGCTTGAGTTGTTCGGTCAGCGGCGCGCGCGCGCGGCGCGGGCGCAAGCAGACGCGCGTTCCCACCGCGCGCTGGGATGCTCCTCCTCTTCTTTCCCCCTTTCTTTCTCCTCCTGCTCTTACTCCCCCCTTTTCCTGCTCCTCCTCCTCCTCCTCCTCCTCCTCCCCCTCCTCCTCCCTCTGGGCCTCCATCTCGAGAACCACTCTGGACCAGGCCTTTGCTGGGTCCAGGGTGCCCCTGGGCTGGACCAGCGTTCCGCTGTACTTCTTGAGCGGCTCATTCGAGGCGAACGCAGGGGTGCTCGGTCACTGGGCGCTACGGGCTACGCCCGTCCAGCTTGGTGGGTGAGCTCCTTTGCCGCGCGCCAATCATGTCTGTGCTCCTCGCTTTCGCACTCTTCCTGGTGGTCGACTCGAAAGTGATCGCTGAGCACAATGCATCGGCAGCGTTCGGCGAGGAACGCCTCACCACTTCTCGTTCTCCGTCGTCATCTACGGCAGCCTTTGGTGTGTTGCGGCGTCAGCGCCTTGGTGCGCGCGGCCCCCGCGCCCATGTGCCTACCCGCCCCGCTTCGCCGCCCCTATCTTCGGCTCTCGTGGCTGGCCTTCTCGCTGTGCTTCTTCGGCTTCGGGCAGGACGTGGTGCTGGACAGCGTCGCCTTCCCTGCGCCGCTTTCGCTTCCTGGGGTCGCGATGGTGGATCTGCCGCCGGGCCTGCTGGGCGCGTCAGACGCTCCAGAGCTGAAGTACCTCCTCAAGAGCAAGGTGGCGGACAAGATCGCGACCGCCGTCGGCGTCGCGACGGTGACGATCAACAACAAGGCGCCCATCGTGAGCTCCGCGACCTGGGCGTACCGCTGCCTGTACATCGTATTCATGTTGTTGCGCCTCAGCGGGCGGCCGCCTGGCACTCTTTTCCATGCGATGCCAGTGGCGCGACAGTTCAGGCAGCGTGCAGTGCAGTCGGCCGCCATATTTACCCATATTTGTTCGACAAGGCTGTTGGAATGTTCCCATTTTCCCCACCGCCGCCTGGCGACCTTGGCGAGGCTCTTGGCCCGCCCGACAGGCTACGGTTGGACCATGGCGTTGTCGTTCCTGCTGGGTCGCGTCTCTGTCTTTCGATCGGCTACCCTGAGCAGCCAAGCATGAGGCCAGGCGTACTTGAGTTTATGCGTGCTACCGTGGCTGGCATTGCTTCTAATTCAGGCGTCAATTTTACGTCGGGACCTGCGACCCCTCGCCCTCCCCCAGCTTGGCTCGGAGGGCGGCCTGCGTCCAGTAGGGAAATAGGTGCTCGAGATCGCAGCAGGTCTCGCGCCCACATTCGCCACGCCAGGCCAGTCTCTTCGCCGAGTAGCTCGCCCCCTTCCAGCGGGGGCTCGGTCCCCCACAGCGTCGGTGGCTCACTGTCGCACAGGGAGGAGCCCAGTAGTTTCGTGAAGTCCGCCAATGAAGGGCTGCGCCGCGCTCAAGAAACATTCGAGGAGGTGAAGCGCCGTCGAGTCGCTTCTTCACCGTCTCCTCGGCCTGGTAGGCAAGACTCAGCGGCCCGTCACCCTGCTGGCCCGCCGCCAACGCGCCTGGTTGAGGCCCACCGTGCCAAGGAGCGCAGCAGGGCTCCTCAGGCCAAGTCCCACGCAGGGGAAGCCACGTGTTCGGTGGGCCACTCACTAATCTTCCCACATAAGGCGAATTGGAGGTTCGTCTGTGAGTGGTGCAACAATCACCTCCCGCGCGGCTCTATCACTTTCTGGCGTAAGACGTGTGAGCACACGCTTTGCGACGGCTGCTACCCACCGCCTACGTCTCCTGAAGAAGTGTCTGCTTTAGCGCAGGAGAGGGGCCCAGCAGCTAGCGGCTCTGCTCCGTCGCAACGCTCGGCCGCCCCCGCTGCCAAACGCAGGCCTGCCTCGGCGCGTGCCACGGAGCAGGTCCCAAAGAGAATGTTGAGGCCCAGCCATGGTGGTGTGCACCCCCCCGTGTGCACGAACTGCAAGGGCAGAGCCTGGCCAGGACTGTGCTCGAAATCCGCCAGGTACCACTGTGCAGCTTCTTTGTGCCGTAACTTCATGCCCGAAGGATGGATGCCGTCCTGCTTCAGGTGCCAGAAGAGCACATGGGACGGCCAGTGGCGGGGTCTTGCCTCGCTCAATGCGGGCAAGGGTTTCGTGTGCAGGTTTTGTTGGCTCGAGGAATGCACGGAGGCAGGCCTGCCCAAGTGGCAGCGCTGGTTCACGCACCGACAGAACATGTACGGTCGTGCATTTCCCCGCACCCCCTCCGAATCGAAGTTCCAAGTTTGCCCCGCCGCATTTTAAGGCCTGGCGCGGCTCGGCGCTCCACCCTTTTGGGGTGTGTGCCCTCCTGGATATTCCAGGCCTGCCGTACTTGCGACGCGGGTCTCTGTTTCTTTTCTGATTCCGTCGGTGCTTGGCACTTTCGGTGGGCTCCTGCCTTTTCTGGAATATTCGCGGGCGCGGCCTGGCTGCACGTGTCGGTGCCCCTCCCCGTGGTGGTCCCTCGGGGTTCTGTTGACTTTTCGTTGTTGGCTTGTGTGGTCTTTGGCCTTTTCACGGCTGCGCGATCGCGCGGTGCGTCCAGGTTTGAGTCTTGGAGCCTTGCGTTTTAGAACGGCTGCTGTGTTCTTCTTTGGAACACGGGGTGTGGGCGCAGGCCTCACCCAGCACAGCCCGTTTTACTTGCCCCTCACGGGGCTCTTTGGCTGTGGATGTCCTAAGCTGGCAGGTCCCGCACTGCCAGTTGCTAGCACTATGCGGTGGGCCCGTGGAGGTCAACAAAAAACTCTGAGCCTCCATCCTCTACGCCTGCTCCCTCTCGTAAGGTTCTCCTCCTTGCTTCCCCCCTCCCCCTCCGCAGGAGAGGCGCCACATGAGCCGGGCGGCCGTTTCGTGGCTGAACCAGAGGAGCCAGGAACCTGGGTTGCAGGTGCGGCCGCCTTCATCCCGCCCCCGAGCCGAAACCCGGCGCCTGGGCGGTGCCGCCGGATCATGGGGTGGCGCGGACGCCATTGGGGGGCGCAGACTTCAGCGGTCGCCGTCGCCGTCGCCGTCGCCGCCGCCGTCGCCGTCGCCGTCGCCGTCGTCGTCGCCGTCGCCGTCGTCGTCGTCGTCGTCGTCGTCGTCGTCGTCGTCGTCTTCTTTCCTTCCCTCCGTATCCAGCTGCCTGCGGCAAGTCCCGCCACCGCGCCGGCCCAGCATTCCTGGGTGGCGACGGGACGAGGGTGGAAGAGCCGTGATGATGCTGATGATGATGCTGCTGCTGCTGATGATGATAATGGTGATAATGGTGATAATGGTGATGATGATGATGATGATGATGATGATGATGATGGTCATGGTTGTGGTGAATGCTGCGATGATGATACAGATGACGCTGATGATGCTGATGATGATGACTGTGCTGATGGTGGGGATGATAACGATGATAATGATGATGATGATCATGATGCTGATGCTGATGATGATGATGACGATGGAGGTGGTGGTGATGATTCTGATGATGGTGACGATGCTGCTGCTGTTGTTGGTAGCGGTGATGTCAATGATGGTGGTGGTGATGTTGGTGATTGTGTTGCTCATTTCGATGCTGATGCTGCTGCTTATGATGTTGCTGATGATGGTGGTAATGATGTGGATGGTGATGCCGGAGCTTGTGTTGATGATGGTGGTGACAGGGTTACGACGATGAGTACAACCATAGTCGTGGTGGTCATGATGATGGGGATGATGATGATGATGATGATGATGATGATGATGGTGGTGGTGGTGGTGGTGGTGATGGTGCTGATGATGATGATGGTGATGCTGATGACGATGATGATGATGATGCTGAGGATGATGATGCTGATGATCATGATGATTACGATTGTGTTGAAGATTGGGATGCTGATGATTATTTTGGTTATGATGATGCTGATGATGATGATCTGATGATAAGGATGCTGTTGCTAATTATGCTGCTGATGATGGTGATGCTGACGATGATGATGCTGATGATGCTGATGGTGCTGATGATGCAGATGATGATGCTGATGTTGATGATGATGCTGGTGATGATGCTGCTGATGCTGATGCTGATGATGATGCTGATGAAGCTAATGATGATGACGATGATGATGACGATGATGCTGCTGCTGATGCCGATGATGATGCTGATGATGATGATGATGATGATGATGATGCTGATGATGATGATGATGATGATGATGATGATGATGATGATGTTGTGTGTGTGTGGCAGTGGTGTTGGTGTTGATGTTGATGGCGAGGGCGAGGTGGAGGATGAGGAGAGGGAGGAGGAGGAGGAGCAGGAGGAGGAGGAGGAGGAGGAGGAGGAGGGGAGTAGGAGGGGAGCAGGAGGAGTAAGAGTAAAATGAGGTGGAATAGTCAGGCAGTTACAAATCACACCTTTCGCCTTCACTATTCGAAGAGCTCTCATGGAACTTGTTTTGGCTGCATTGAGCCTCTTGTTATATCTAGGAGCGGGTGAAGAAGACATTATTGGAGAACATGTTTTTCGAGGAAGCCCACCAAAACGACATTCCCCACAAGTGAGCAATCGACAATTATTAATGGAACTATGCATTGATTGCGACATGTTGATCGCGAACACGCTCATCGAAGGGAAAGATGACAACAAAATCACCTACCGGAACTTGGGGGTACAGCCTTTGCAATCAATATCGCCAGATTTGTTCTCTCAAATCGATCACGTTTTATGCCAACATTCGATGCTTTTGTTGTATGCAAGAATGCTGGTCTACCCGGGCAGCCACCCTCAATAGTCATCAACTTCTTACATGCGCAACGCTTCAGCTGGAATTGCAACGATTCTCGCGGACCCGCGCGCCGAAGAAGAAGAAGAAGAAGGACACGGGTGCTCTCGCGGTGATGGGCACCAAAAAGCTCTTCACCAAGACATTTTTGAATGCCATCGGGGACCTACCTCCTTCCCCTTCTCTGGACGACGCCGCGGACAAAGTACAGCGAACTTTCGACGCCGCAGCTTCTTTTAAGTTGTGAGGCACGACCGCAGGAACCATGGACAAGCACGTCTACTTTGGAACTTATTGCCGAGAGGAACGCCTACCGCCAGTCGGGGGACTACGACAACGAGCTCCGGCTACACAAATTGATCCAGAAAGGTGGAAGGAAAGACCGCGCGGCTTGGTTGGATAATTTGCTGTCCAGTGGCAATTGGGAAGCGGTTCGACACTTAGAAAAGCCAGCGCCCCGCAATCACGTGGGCGTTAAAGACTTGAACGGGGACCTCTGCGACACCTCTGCTAGACCAGACACCCTTGCACAGTACTTCGAGGAAGTGCAATGGAGGGTCTGCTTCGCCGATGTGTTCTCCACGAACTCCGAGAGGCTTGGGGCCACTTTGCTGATAAACACCGACACGTTCTCCTTAAATGAGCTCCAGACGGCGAACAAGAATATTAATAATAGGAAGGCAGCTGGGCCGGACGACGTGCCTGCGGAATTTCGGAAAGTCGTTGCTGAAGACACGCGTGCTTGTGGTGCACTCTTACACGTATGTCAGCATGTTGGGAGACGAAAAACACTCCATCCGTGTGGAGGCAAGCGGATGTGGTTTTGCTGTAGAAAGGGGACGCTGTTTTACCGAGTAAGTGCAGACCGATATCCCTTCTGGCCGTGGGCTACAACGTATTGGCCTCGATGCTACACAAGCGACTCCTAGATGGCGGGTGCGAACGAATAGTGCGGGAATCTCAGGTTGTTTTCCGCCCAAAGCGAGGCACTTCAGACGCCTTGATGGTTGTCCGTAGGATGGTGGATGCAGCTCACATGAACAACCGTGGATGCTTATTCTTCTTATTCTTAGACTGGGCGAAATCATTCGACCGCCTGAAAGCCGACAGCAGGTGCTCGGCCTTGGGAAGGTTTGGACTACCAGCACAATTGTCCACAGGGTCCGCGGAATTTACGCAGAGCGGTATTTCACTATAGTCGATCATTGTGGGACTTCTTCGGAGAGGAAGCGATCTGCAGGTATCGCGCAAGGGTGCCCGCTAAGCCCCTACTTGTTCATCATTATTCAAACTGTGATGCTGCACGACGCCCTGGACGCGCTGGAGCAGCAACGAGAGCACAGGTATGTCGTCACCAGGGACATTTTGTATGCGGATGATACTCTGTTGGCGTCGCAACATCCTGGGAATCTTCAACCTTTTCTTGAATCCATTTTTACGGAAGGTCGCAAATATGGCATGGAATTCAATGGGGAGAAGACGCTGCAGATGAACATGTCTTCAACAGGCGAAGTACGGAGACCAACGGGAAAAACGTCAAATCCGTGCGGGAGGCAGTTTATGTGGGCGGGCTGATATCTTGCGACGGCAACGCTGGGAATGAGTTGTCCCGGAGGCTTGGCGAAGGAGCGAATCTAGTCAAGCAGCTGCAAAAGGCATGGGCCCACGCCGCCATTGGTTGGAAAACGATTATATATAATAGATTCCGCATGCGTTTTGACAGAGATCCTGTATACTTTGGATTCAATGCGGCTTCTCAAAGGCGAGAGAGATCGACCAGGCGGTTTTCATTGCAAACTCATCCGGGATAGATTGGGTATCCCGCCCTCTTTGTTTCCAGGCTCGCCAACTCCATCGTGCTAGACAACGCCGGAGCGAAGCCACTCTCTGACATATCAGCTGACAAACAGACGGCGCTGTACACCACGATGGCAAATTGAAGTGATTAGTGCCTGGCGAAATCTATACTCTGCAATGTAGACGGCTCTCCCAGACAACGGGCCTCTCGTAGAAAGCGAGGGTGGCCGCGGCAGCGTTGGGCCACATCGGCCTATGAGCTTCTCTCGTAACTCTTAGCAGGATCCCCTTTTCCTCCTCTTCCTCCTCCTCCTCGTCTTACAGTCGTGCGCTTCGGTTTTCTGCTTCACAGTCATGGGGCGTTTTGTTTTCCGTGCCTCTTTCAATATTTACCGTAGGGCTGCCAATTGCGCGCTCTTCTGCCCGCGCGTCCTTCCGGATGCTTGGCTCTGTGGTGGTGGTGTTGGTGGTGAGGCAGTCTCGGGGTTCCCTTGGGGCCCTCTTGGGGCCCTCTTGGGCCGACGTGGGGCCCTCTTGAATCGCCCATGTGGCCGTATGATGGGTGTCTGGGTGCCGTCGTGGTTGGGGCCGTCTTGGGCCGTCGACAGGCCTTCTAAGGCTGTCGGGGGTCCCTCAGGGGTTGTCGTGGGGCCGGCTTGGATGCCTCTTGGGCCATCGTGGGACCTATTGGGCCATCGTGGTGCCCTCTGGGGGGCCTCTCGGGCCGTCTTGTAGCCATCTTGGAGGTTTCTTGGGCCGTCTTGAGCTGACGGAAGCCCGAGAAGGTGATGGCGCGAACGCCATTCAAGGACCCAAGGGACATCACTAATCGTAGCGTTCTCGGGCCCTCTTGGGGGCCCTCTTGTGGCCCTTTTGGGCCCTCTTGGGGGCGTTTCGGGCAGTCCTGGGACCATATTGGGCCGCCTTGGGGCCATCTTGGGCCGTCTTCGAGACATCTTGGGCCAGTTCGGTTTCCTTGATTGCCTGCATGGGCCGTCTTGGAAGCTCGGGACGCGGATCCATCGTTATCCCAACAATCCCGTGGTGTTAGGTTCTCATTTTGAAGAGACAGCGCCCCGCGTCCTCCTCCTCCTCTCTTCTGCCTCCCCCTCCATCCTCCCATCCCTGCCTCTGTCCTTCGCATGTTTCTGTTTCGGCACACCCCTCACTCGTTTCGTTCCCCCATAGGGAGCTCCACCGGAGGCCCCAGTGGCCATGCCCACATGCGGCCGGTCCACCCATGTTGGCACACCCCTCACACGCTGCGTGGCCCCATGTTTTTTCCCAACCCTCCTTGGTTGGGCATCGTTTTGAATACAGCACCGCGGTCGCGTCTTCCTCCCCCCGCCTCCTC